AAAATCCTTAATTCACAGTGCTGCAAAAGAGTTTTGTAGGCTTAAGTACAGTTATGAAAAACAGAATGTTTATTGGCTGGCACATGTTGTGAATGTATCATACATGGTCAAAAAACTGTCAATAAAGCTTTCACAGATAAGCTATTCAACAGGCTGGAGAAAAAAATTAAGTCTTTTTACTGTTCAACCACATCTTTAAAATGTCTAAAAAACCCTACCATTGTGCTATGGCACAAGAATTCTGTTGTAATAAATAATCCAGGACTCCATTTTCTTCATGAAGCCAAGTATTTATTTATTGTATAGTTCATATTTTATATTTTACAAGACTACCAGAAGGTACTGTGTCAGGTCTTATTGGTGGACAATACATTTACACTTAGTTCATTGGTAGGTTTAGTTGAGGTTTTAGGGCATGGGATGGACTCGATGATCTTGAAGGTCTCTTCCAACCTAGAGATTCTGTGATACATGGTATTTTGCATACCTATCAAACTTCTGTATTTTTAGTGAGTTTACATATTTTTTCTACTGATTCTCATTAGACAGATCTTGCTGTTTATGAAGGAGCTAGTTGTTTTTCACCCAAGAATAGTTTGTTGAGTTAACAAACCTCTCATACCAAGATTGCTTTTGCATGGGAACCTGTACTTACCTGCACTTCGAAACAATAGGCCAGCTATTAATTTAGCAGAGCAAGGCTTGATTTTATGAGGCCTTTCATAATTTCTCTACCTGTCTGCAGCAGAATTCTACATAGCTCTTCTAAAAACAGAGATATTCAGCAAGTGGACTACACCATGCCCAGGACATTAATAAGTATACCTACGGATTACTGGAGAATTCATCTTATATGTAGAAAAACCCCTAGTTTCACGGAACTAGTTTATCCTCAGACTGTACAAATGAGAGAAGGGTAGCTAGAGATTACACTGAGGGAACTACTTAGCAGCTTCCTTTTACAGAAAGATTCTGGACTACTGATATGTGTCAACACATCTGAGTGAAATGAATTCATTTACTCAGAGCTTGTCTTCACCACTCACAACCAAACACTTCACAGACCCTTCAGTCACTGCTGGTGTGAGAAAGGCTTTGCTGTCATGCAAGTAACTCTCCCTTTTTCCATGCCTGTATTGCATTCCCAGCATTGTATCCTATTTTATTATTTCTGGATTTTTGGAGTGCTGTTTCCGTTTCCCTGCCCACTCCCTCGTTGTGATCTTTGACCAGTGGATCCTTCCCTGACAGATACAAAATTAATGACTGCCTTAAAATACATACATACATGTATGTATAGGCACATACATGACTATAAATAACAGAACAGGTTCACTTAAAGGAATTCTAGATTAGATGTAAAAGAAAGAGCATATTTGCAAAGTAGCAATTCAGCGACAAAACGATGGCTTACATAAACACATGCTTAATGTGGTCTTTAAGTATTCCAATGGTGTACTAAGGGTTGTGAAGTTTTGTTGAAGTTGTAGTTAATTCTGAAATTTCTGTTCTCTCTTTGATTACCTAAACAATGGCTGATAAATTCAGAAAACCAAAACAAGTATCCTGATCAACCTTGTGGTTGAAATATTCTGAATTTGGTAAAGTGCAAGCCACAAATGAAGCCTCCCCATCTGGTAGTATTCTCATAACATCTTTTCATTCCTATTAAAGATGCAGTGCAGCTTTCAGTGGAGGTGGTAGTCTGGGCCTGTCTTCTCTACCTAGCCATGTGTTTTCACAGATCTTAAAAGGACCAAAATTTTTATGTACAAGGCTTCTAGAACTTTTCCAATATAATCAGTGAATAGCTTCACAAGCTGTTAGGGAGAGAAGGACAGCAGGAAAAGCAATTACGTAAGATCTGTTTTCGAGGAAAATCTAATTTAAAATCCCTGCCTTTTTTTTCTTCCCTACCACAATGAATCAGGTACTTTTCCACTTTAAAACAATAAGGCAGAGAAAACATTGAAAGATAGACAGATGAGACAATTTCTATTATGTGAAAGACTGGAACTGGAAATTAATTTTGCAGTGGTTATATTAAAAAGCTTGTATATAGCTGGTGACTAAGTCAGTGCTTATTTTGGAAGATGTATCTGTATCTGTCAGATGAATCTGACATTCAAGCATCAGAAACGTAACTGTGTCCCCTCTAGCTGAATATGCAATTTTACCAGAAATAGGATATACTTACGCAATAGCCCACCTACTTTTAACTTAGCTACACAGCCACCCAAAAATGTATTGTGATACCATTAGATACAACATCTCAGAAACAGTATCCAAGATCCAGTAAATTGATATTGTTATATTTTGACAAGATTTACAAACCATAGACCAGAAATGGACCCATAACTTCTCTGAGAGTTTTAATGCTCACATAAACAGCTGAGTAACAGGGGTACAGAGATAGCTCCCAAAGATTTTGGAGTTTCTGGGTGCCCTGGACTGGAAGCTAGCCAACATTATTCCAATTTACAAAAAGGGCATGAGAGAAGATCCAGGAAGACCTGTTGGTACAATCTTAGTACCTGGAAAAATTATGGAGAAGATCACACTGGCTGTTGAAAGGCGCTTGAAGCATAATGCAATCATCAGGTATAGTTAACAAAGTTTCACAAAAAGAAAGTCCTATTTGTCTGATTTGATATCCTTCTACAACAAGGTCACCTAGTTGCCTAGTGGGTGAAGGGAAGGATGTAGATGTAGTTTTCCTGGATTTAGGAAGGATTAAGGATTCTTAATGGATTAAGTTTGGATTAAAGCTTCTGATACTGCCCCTCACATCATCCTTCTGAACATGATGTCCAACAGTGGGTTCACGGTGTGCTGGGTGAAGACCTGGCTGAAGGGCAGAGCTCAGCGGGGTGCAGTGACTGGGACTGCATCTGGCTGGTGACCAGCCACCAGCAGTGTTCCTCAGGGTGCAATTCTTAACAACATGGTGAAGATTTAGATCAGCCCTGAAGTGGCCTGCCGGTTGTACCAGATACTACTTGTAGGGTCCCTCTCCTCTCCTCTCCTCTCCTCTCCTCGAGTCTCCTCGAGTCTCCTCGAGTCTCCTCGAGTCTCCTCGAGTCTCCTCGAGTCTCCTCGAGTCTCCTCGAGTCTCCTCGAGTCTCCTCGAGTCTCCTCGAGTCTCCTCGAGTCTCCTCGAGTCTCCTCGAGTCTCCTCGAGTCTCCTCGAGTCTCCTCGAGTCTCCTCGAGTCTCCTCGAGTCTCCTCGAGTCTCCTCGAGTCTCCTCGAGTCTCCTCGAGTCTCCTCGAGTCTCCTCGAGTCTCCTCGAGTCTCCTCGAGTCTCCTCGAGTCTCCTCGAGTCTCCTCGAGTCTCCTCGAGTCTCCTCGAGTCTCCTCGAGTCTCCTCGAGTCTCCTCGAGTCTCCTCGAGTCTCCTCGAGTCTCCTCGAGTCTCCTCGAGTCTCCTCGAGTCTCCTCGAGTCTCCTCGAGTCTCCTCGAGTCTCCTCGAGTCTCCTCGAGTCTCCTCGAGTCTCCTCGAGTCTCCTCGAGTCTCCTCGAGTCTCCTCGAGTCTCCTCGAGTCTCCTCGAGTCTCCTCGAGTCTCCTCGAGTCTCCTCGAGTCTCCTCGAGTCTCCTCGAGTCTCCTCGAGTCTCCTCGAGTCTCCTCGAGTCTCCTCGAGTCTCCTCGAGTCTCCTCTCCTCTCCTCGAGTCTCCTCTCCCCTCCTCTCCCCTCCCCTCCCCTCCCCAACAGTCAGGCTTTTAATAACAACACAAAAGTAAAGGATTTTTCCACATTGTAAAAAATTCATTCCACAGACTGAAACTAAAGCCATCTAGATTATTAGTCCGGTGTCCTGTCAATAATTCTTTAAGAAAATAGATTTTTATTTGCCTGTTTTCTGCCCTTGAAATAATATAACTATTAACACAGAAAAAAGATATATGAAAGCAGATTTCAGTGGTGGCATTTGCCGGTATAGTACAGAGAACTGATCCTGTTCAGGATTTGTTTTGAGGGATTGCAACATCCTCTCATGCATTAACCTAATATGCTAATCTACACTTTTCCTTGCCTTGGAAACATAACGAAGCTGTTATTCATATCTGTGTGCCTGTGCAAAGGGAGCAGGCTTGGTGCAACATACAAAGGCAAAACAGGATTTATTTTTTTTAAATTGATTTTTCAGTACGAGCATATTAAAGGCTCAGAATAAACGGAGGTCGGCTGAGTATTTTTGCTGAGGTCAGTCCAGTGGGGAGCAGTGCAATAGCCAGCGGTCATGTGGCCCCGAGAGAAGCCACGGGGCGCCCACCCGAGCGGGTCAGCAGTCCCAAAAGGACCAGGACAGACAGGTGGCATCTCGCCGAGGTCCTGGCAGGGTACCCGCGTTCTGCTCTCTCGCACCGAGCGGCGCCAGCACGGCCGAGCGCACGGAGACACCGCGGGGCTCCCGGCTCCGCTGCGAGCGGCATTCCCGCTTCCAGAGGCTATTCCACACCGTGAACTACCCATCCGGATACTTCGGAAACGCCTTCTTCCCGGCTTACAGCTTTTTTTATCAATGGGCTGGCAGCCCGGCTGGCGCCGGGCGGGGCGGGGGAAGGCAGCGCGGACGGGGCCGCTCCAGCCCCGCGGCGGGCGGGCTCTGCTGCCGCTGCCGCTGCCGCCCGGCCGGGCTGGGCGGGGCAGGAGCCTCCTTCCTGTTTCCGCCCGCAA